GATTAATACAAAAAACAATTTACTTTTAAACCTGTTAACATGGGCTACATGTAAGTTTAATTTTCTGCACATTGTTAAGTTACAACTAGGACTGAAAATAAATTTTACTGAGAGTGAAATTAATTCTTAAAACTAACATTTGTCATAACAGAAAATGCCCATGATTGCAAARTAAATACCCAGTTTTGCTGAATTAGGAACCAAAAGTTGTGAGATTCATTAATTATACTGTACTTCTTCTAAGGTCACGTTTAAAGATTAATATACCAAAGTTGGATCATAGAGGTTTATATTAGATTTTCCTTGTAGTAAAAATTCTGACTTTTATGTTTTTCTTTTTTTATTTTTTTTTTTTGTTAAAAGGAAAAAACATGTTTAACATCAAATAAAATGTTATGGATTTAGTATTTTTTTTCAAGGATGATGCAGAATCTGTTCCAGCAGTGTTGACATGTTTGAACTTCTGTCTGAAGTCCTACAGATGGCAGTCTATGAACTTGTGATGAATGCACTTTTCACCTCCAAGAGCTGCTCTTGGGGACGTGCCACTCCCAAACTATTCCCACAGTTATGGTGCACTGACAGTGAATACAACCCAAGACTGTAAAAAAAAAATAAGATCAATCAAACAAGCCTCCAAATGTGATGATTTATCTAACAAGTACAGGGAGCCATAAACAATTCATGTGCATGTTTATTGGTAAAACACCATTAATCAGATATRAAAGTAGGCTACATAAAACTTTATTCAGTGGGCTTTTTTATAAAAAAAATAATGGGTATAACTTAAAATTTGCCCTATATTGCAACTTTTTACAGAAATCTGAGTCAGTACAGACCCATTTTTATCATACAGTTGCAATCGAGTGATTAATAAAGTCACTTCAGACTCTAGATTACCCAGACCTGTAAATATTTACCACACAATTTATCATTTTTGAAGATTTAATGCAGCAAGACATGAGAAAAAAATTTTTGAGCCCTAGATGTTTAAAACACATGGTGTATTACATCATAGCATTTATGAAAGAAGACTATGCCAAAATGCAGAAGCTGTGTGCAAAAGAACCCACCCATAACTCAAAAGTTTGTAGTTATCTTTAGAGCTATAAACATTAGTCTTTTTATATGATTTTTTTTCACAGTTGGGGAATTTTTATCTCTGTGCTTTACAACTTCACTTTTTGATGTTTGTAGACATTTGTTTTCAGCTTTCTTAAGTTCCCGCAACATTTATTTGTCTTTTATGAGTCTCTTAAATCTAATTAAAATGTAAAACCAGACTTAGCTTGTYGTGTTTGAGCTGAAATAAGTGTAAGTACTTCGCACCGTACAGTATGTCCAATTTCTTGTAGACATCGCATTAAGGTACATTCTGCCTGCTCTTCATTGCCTTTAAAAACAACAACTCAATTTTTTTCTGATTCTCAACTGTTTCATTTCATTTTGAAGGGAAATACCAAACATTTAGCTTATAATTGCCTAGAAATCATATTATTTGGCAAAAAATGCTTTTTTAAAACCTGTTTTCTCCTAATTATTCTTGATGTAGCTGAAGAAATGAAAACAACTCGTGCCTTTGCAACAGATATGTTTTATTTTGCTTGAGATTATTCAGAAATGAAAGTGTTATGACATTAAACAGGAGTTGCATTAATGAAACACAGGCATGCAATCAGAGAAAACCTGCAGGGAAACGTGTAACGATGTGTTTGTGTTTTYCACTGTTTGAAGACATCTGCAGTTTATCCAGAAGCAAACCAGGTTGAAATCAATCCTTGACAGCGATAGGCTTCATCCTCCKCAGGGAGCGAGGACGCCGTGCAGAAGTTCCTGTCACTCAAAAAGGTACACAGATTAAATATTTAGCAATGTGCTGATGTCCGCGAGTCAGGGAACGGCGAAACGATCTGTTGTGCTGGTGCAGGACTGGGCAAGGTGGAAGTTGTGTGTTACCCTCCTGAAACAGAGACATGATTCTGGCAGCAGCTAACGTTTTTCAGCTTTGTGTCAGCAGGTTGTATTGTCCAGAGCCGATCCGGGTTTKACAGTAAAACAGGACGCTTATGTGTTGGATTTACTTGTTTGTGTAAATCCAAGTTTTAACAAGATCAACACTGGAATGGAACAACCACAAGTGCATTCAAGTAAAAAAAAAAGAAGCTTTACAAGTTGCAGAGAATGTACATTATGAGTTTTATATGGAGCTCAAAGACATTCAGTTCCTCTCATCTTTAACTATCACTGAACAACATGCGGCAAACCCTCCCCCCCACCCTACTACCCCCATAAAATGTCTTGCACCTTCTTTTTTGTCACATRTACTTTTTCCTTTAGACCTCATCCAAACTGTTTTTATTTATACAACACATTTAATCTGTTCTTCGTGAACAGTCCAGTTGATACAGTACAGAGTTATGACTGATGTGATCAACAAAGAAGATGTCTTTGAGAGTGGCAGCAGGGTTTGATTAAAAATGTTTTCAATGCTTCATTTTACCTTCACATCGTTCTCWTTATGAACACTCCTTTTTTCACTTTCCAGTTTTTGAGTTTTAGTGAAGCTTGACTTCCTGTTATTTCTAATCAAAACTAAAATGAGATAGTTTGATTCTTTTAAAATAAGGTCTGGTAGAAAGGCAATAAAAGATGTATCTTTTATCTGTTGTAGATCACTCGTTGAATGACCTTAGTTTGGATAAATTTAGTTTAATTCTGACCAGATGAACAAACCAGGTTAGTCTGAGCATAGCTAAGACCAAAGGGGAGTTCTGATATCTTAAAACAACTCCTAAACAAATCTTTATAGCAATTCAACAAAATGCTGTTCTTTAAACCTTTTTGTTACTGTGGATTTTGYTTGACAGTAATTCCAGCAAAAATATATTTCTGCCATGTTTTGCGCCASAAGTGCTACATTTAGCTCCTGCTGTCACTATCTGCTTTTGCAAATGACTCTTTAATTTTTTGAAAATAATTGTTCAATGCTAACTCAGTGATGGTATTGGAAATTTTAGTTAATTTAAAATGACAGCAATCCACTTTGGTGTTAGCCRTTAGCTCATTATCCAAGTCAGATAAAATGTATTTTTCCAAACCTAGGTTGGTGAAAAAGCTGCAACAGGTAAATATAGTTATTTTTCATATGTTTTTCAGAAAACCCAATTTATCTCATTTGAATAGTTACTTTACCTAAAGAACAAAACTGTCCATTGAGCTAAAATTATTGTTCATATGTGCCTCTTTAATCCACGAGTTTCTTCCCACTATGACTTTCATCAACCAACAAACATTTTCACATATCTGTAACCTTTACAACAATTAATATAAWGACTAAATGTAGATGTGACTGTGAAGGCTTGTTGCTTTAAAAGGTGAAAATAATATAATAGTAGTTTAAAGCCAACTTAAATATCTTTGGTTAATTTGAGTTCTTGCACTTTTTTGGTACATAAGAAGCATACAAGCCGCAGTAACTGTTTTACCAAAAAAGCTTGTTTTTGTCTTTCTACATGTGAGCAATATGAAAATTTAAAACTACCTGGATACAATGTTTAATATGGTCTGCAATCAGCAATAAACTTTAAAAGAGCAAATGCAACAGTTTGTTTAAGCTCAATTAGAAACTGCTTCAGATTATGATTCAATGCCCCCAAAAAAGTCTTTAAAAGGGAAATTATGTTTTTAATTCAACCTTGAGTAAAGCTCTCACAAGTCAGTGGAGACGGAGCCTCTCTTGACTCTCAGGCTACCCCAGCCACGGGGACAGGTATGGTAGGAGTGCAGGCCAGGCGATCGGAGACCCGAGTCTTCAGATTCCACAGAGGCATCCGAGTCAGTCAGGGAACGGGTGTTGTAGAGCCTTACAGGTGAGCAGATTCTMTGGGTTGGGGTGGGAGGAGGACTGGTGAAAGTAGGGGACTGTGCCCCCAAAGAGCGTGACTGGAAGTGGTTGTTGGGTAATTTCTGCCAGTCRTGTTGGCTGTTTCCCACAGATGAGATGGGAAGGCTGTGACCGCTCAGTGCACCAGGAGACGGGCTGTTTTTACGTTTGGCTGCATTTATAATATTCTTTGCCAGGAGGCGATGGTTGACTCTGGAATCCAGATTATTGCTGTTGGGAGACATGCAACGACTATCTTTTGGTGGTGGAGGAGGAGATGTTGTAGAAGATGTGTGAAGGGGATTCATGGGTTGAAACAACAGACTGCTCTGAAAGAGTGCCGGAGACTGGGAACGTGAACCCCATGGAGGACAGGCAGGAGATGTGGATGTTGGTACCTGTGTGGGTTTGGATGTGGTAATGGTGACAGTGGAGGACTGGGTATGCTGGTTTATTAATGGTGATTGACATCTTGAGCCCCACGGAGGAGTTTGGGAAGGTCTTGATGTAGAAATAGAGAAAAACTGTGTATTTTGGTTCACAGCTGGCGATTGACTTCTTGATTCCCACGGGGGAGTTTGGGAAGGTCTTGACACAGGAACAGAAAAGCCAGTGGGAAATTGTGTATTCTGACTTGATACTGGTGAGTGACTTCTTGATCCACATGGAGGAGAAAGTGGAGAAGCCACTTTGGGTCTTGAGGTTGGTCTGAATGAAGAAAAAGAGGCAACYGTTGAGGTCTTGTTATTCTGGCTCACAGTTGGAGACTGGCATTTTGCCTCCCAAGGAGGAGAAAGAGGAGACTGTATTTTTGAGATTTCTGGGGATCTGAAGGAAGKAATGGAAGCTGTGGTGGAGGACTGACTGACTGCTGGTGAATGACATCTGGATCCCCATGGTGGAGAACATGGAGATGATGGTGTTTGGAAGGGTCTTGGTGTAGAAGTGGAGGTACCCGTAGAACAATGATCCTGATTGGTCATTGATTGGCATCTTGTATAACCAGAGGAGATGACAGGGGAGGTGACTGATCTGATGGAGTCAGTGGTGAAGTGTTGGTTTGTTTTGGAGGTCCAACTTCTTGGGACTGGCCCATCAGGGCTGCTGAAACGTCTTGTGAGGCTTGGTGTACTAGTTGGTGTTGGTATTCCACCTGTGATATCCCCAATGGAGGACTCCTGTGATGCCTGGTGAAACATAACATATAACCTGTTTAATTAAACACACCAACAACAAATCAACTGATATGTTTGCAAAGCAAGCGATTGWAGCATAGCATTTTCATAAACATAGAMAAATAATTAAATGGCTTGAACTTATAACACTTTATCAAGTCCCTATAGACCTCAAAGCRCTTTACACAACASTCATTCACACACTGATGCCCTGGGGCAACCCACCGGTTACAGGACAACTCCCACTCCACAGCTGCCCCACAAGTAAACGTTTATAATATAAAGTTTAAGGTTTTGACATTTTTTTCTCTTAGTGATCTGTGATAAATTTAAATTTGTGTGTTCAGTTTTTTGTGCAGATGTTCCTTTCCTCTGTGTGTGTCTCCTTGGTAAGCCAAGTCACGAGCACATGTAGGCCCAGTCTTTAGTGCCTCTCTCAGGTTACTGTCATCTGGTCTTCCTGAGTTGGTTAACCTTTGCAGGGATATGAAGTTACTCGACCTGAGCAAAGTCTGCATTCCATCTTGTGTCCGAGCCAATTAGAGACCTACTCTATCTTTGCTTGGCATAATATTATGCAGGGAGTATATGTAGTGCTTCGAGTTGAAATACAAGTATCAGTTTGGATTAWTGTTAGGGGTCATACATCAAAAGTTCAGAGCTTTGTTGTGAAAGACAAAGTTCAGGTCAAGTGTTATAACATTTATCTTTGTTGTGTGAGTTACCCAACCCAACAGGACCAAGTTACAAGTTTTAGCACCAACACATAAAAACTCTAATTCTTATGAAAGTGCTACATAACTAGTGCTAAATGGCAGTATTGATTATTTGAAAACTTTAAAAACACAAAGTCAAGCATTCCTTTGAGGGATGCATGTCGTTTTTTTTTTTTTGTTTGTTTTTTTTTGTTTTACCTTTTTATGCTAATTTTAAACTGAGATAGTTCTATCTTGAAAATGGTGGCATTATAGTTGTTTTGCTCAAATTTTGAGAATAACTTTATGCATGATTGCACCTAATATGAGATAATATTGAAATTAGMCTTGAGAATGACTCTCATCTAGTACCACACTAAACAATAGCCTATTTTTTAAAGTTTTTGTGTTTCCTAAGGTTGATTGATCATGACAGCCATATTAAATTAAGTTGGCTCCAAAAGTTAACAAGTTGTGGATCTGGATTTGAACATATTAAAGACAGTCGAGTGGTCYTTGAAGTACTTTGCTAAGAAGTAGAATGTTAGCACTCACAGTATGTGTAGGGGACGACTCTCAGCTACTACTAGATCAATGTTGTAGGTCAGTATCTGCAAATATCAAATATCTAATTSGGTTGACACCAAAGATTAATGATGTACATGGATATCTAACTTTCTGAAAGTTTTATTGAAACCCATTCATTGGTGGTTTATGAGATGTTTTGCTGACAGACAAATCTTGTTAATCTGGCAGGGTATTACCACTTGGCTCCTGTTTGTAGGTCAGCTTTGTTTTKGACAGAAGCACAAAGTTTATAAGCACGTTTAAATGTTCCAAGTGACAGCAGAGGAGGCAGGAAAGTTTAACAACAAAACATTTTATAGTGATAATAATGGCTGAAAGACGTCAGTGAAACCAGGAAACGAGAAGAAAACAGAGGAAGCCCACTTTAGAGTGTTAGCATAAAGATTTATTCAAAGGAAAGACTCACTCAAACACAAAACAAAACAGTTTATAAGAGACAGTAACAGCAAGAAAGTGCAGTGTATCAAGGTTTATGAAAAAAGGCACAAATACTGCAGTCTCAAACAGCACAAAGAGAAGCTTGAACTATTGCTTTAAGTTGCAACAGTTTATGAGGCAAACTGATGCAGTCTGTAACTTTTAAAGAGAACAGAATCTAAATATGCACCATATATTTAGGTAAAAAAGGATGTTGGAAAGCAGAGTAAAGTGCCCAGAAGACATAAGACATAAAAGTGTTTTCTTGCTGCAACTTTCATGCCAGCGAACGGCACGAGCTTGCAAATCATAGATCATAAAGCAGATGCAAGACCATCTGTTAAAGTGCTTTGTGAAGCAGCATCTTAATGGTGCCCAGTAGAAAAACAAACTATTAGGTAGTTTTTATGTTTTAAAATGTTCAGAAAATTGACATTTTTAAGTGCTTACATCCTAAGTGCTTTGGAAATGGAAACTACTTACTTTGATTACACTAAAACCCTGTTTTAATCTTCTTAAGTTAATTGCTGCGGTATAGTTTTTTTATGAGGAAAAGTAGAATTGTGCTATGTATTCAGAAATAAATTGGTTTGTATTCACTTAGATCATCTTTTTAGATGCAGAACAATTTATCTTGAACTAAAAATCGTTCATGTTTTCCACTATTTTATGATGAGTWAGGGTAGTAATGTTTCCTTCATAAATCTTCAGAAGATGTTTAAAAAGAGACACAAGAATCTGTTCCAGTTTTGCAAATATGATTAATCTCTGCAAAATTAATCCAGTCTTTCTGGAAAAAAAAAAAAAAACCAAACAAACATGTTTTCTAAAAATGGTACAGAGAGGGCCTCCACACCTGTGGTGTAATTCCTGCCTTCTTGGCAGAAAACGTGGGCCTTGGTGCCTGAACTCCCGATCGAGGAGAGGAGACTCGCTCTGGTGAAAAGGCAGGCATAGGAGACCTGATCCCTGGATGCCCAGAAGCTGGATTTGATGGATACTCTGGTGTTCTTGTGGGAGTAAGAGGCATCTGAGGAGAAATGCTTTGGTAGTGAGAAAGCGTGTTAGTTAGAGAYGCCTGTCTGGGAAAAGTGCTGGTGGTTATTGTGCTCTTGGCCTGTGGCGCTCCTCTGGGGAGGGTACTGATTGGGTCCTTGACAGGGTTAAAGACAAAGAGGGAGGAGTTAATCTGGTAAGGCCGATGCCTCGAGAGGTCCATCTCAATCTTAGAGCAGCCGTTTTCCAAAGTAGGCGGCTCAGGAACTGGTTCTGGTGATGCAACTTTTGGCCTTGGCTTTTGCTTGACTGCTTGTTGGGCCTTCAGGTTCTGAGAAAGCTGAGCACTCATGTCAGAGTTCTTGGCAATGGCTTTAACTCGTCCGGGCATGTTCGATGGATAAACCCAAGACGGTGGCAGAGACATTGCAGGAGAGGGAGACCTAATTTGTCCCACGGTCTGGTTCTCAACAACGTATTTCTCCATCCTGGACTGTCGTTTGGCAAACAACTCAGCCCCTTTTCCTGACACATTGGTGAGGGTTTGCTCTGGATGGTGCTCCGCCCTTGGTCGGGTCTTTGAGCTCTTCAGACAAGAGGCCCACTCTGGCGCTTTGGCTCCCTCTGTCCTGCTTTCTTCTTTGGCAAGGAAGTTGGAGGCCTCTGCTCCCAGAGCCATTACCTCCTCCTCAGATACTGGCTCAGGGACAGATACGTGTCCATGTTTCCGTCTTTCATCYGCCCCTTGCACCAGAGAGAGCAGCTCAGGGTTGGGAGCCATCACTGGTTTCTCTTTAAATGTAAACATTGACTTCTTCGTTGCTCTTCTGGCAGCGCTCTCTTCGAGTAATCCTGTTTTGACGGGTGTTATCAGCTTCCTCTCCTCGGTGGGATGAGGAACAAAGGTGAAGGGYTTCGGGGTAGTGGGAGGGCCACACGGGTGGACGGGTGGGTGCTGAGAAACAGGGAAATGGGATGGTAGAGGAGAGGAAGGGGACACGATAGGAGACATCGGAGGCGGACTTGTGTAGAAGGTCTGTGGGGGTTGATTTGTGAAGGCTGGCAGAGGAGGTGTTGGATAAGATGGAGGTGGAGGAAGAGGTGAGAGTGTGACAGGCTGAGGGACGGTGGAAGAAGGGAGAGGAGGAGTGGAGTAAGATGGAGGAGGTGGGATGTTCATGACAGGGCTGACTGCCTCTGAAGAGAGAACCGTTGGGGGTGAGAAGAAAGGCCTGGCGGTTCTGTTGACAATTGATGGCTTGGATTGGGGTATGGAGGACCTCTCTGATCCAGAGGAGCTGTGACAACCATTAGGAAGCTTTTGACTGGAAATTGGTCCTGTGTGGCCCTCATTTGTCTCTGTCCCCTTTTCAACATGTGCCATCTGAACTGTGTCAGTGTTGTCTTTTTTTAAAGGAGACTCATTCTTGACATTGTCCGTTACMACCTCCTGAATCTCATCTTTTACCTCTTCCTCCTCTTCTTCTTCCTTGACAGGAAGGAAATGTCTCTCCTGGATAACRTTATCGTCCACATGTGGCTTATTAAAATCCTTCCGCGGCTCATCCATGATCTCACCTACAGAGTTTATCGGCGACAGGACGAGTGGCTTTGTATTCTTCAAGTTGAGGTCTTTGTCTCTTTCTTCACTGCTCCTCTCTGCCCATGTTGGTTTCTCAGACGAGGTGTTGTTTTTCACATTCTCAGTTTTGTCCACCTCTGACTCCCGTCCACAGCTTTCGTGCGTGAAGGCATTCACTCTCTGCTTACGGCGGTTGAAGAGTTGGACACCCCTGGAGGTGGAGCTGGAGTTGGACGGGAGAGTGGTGGTGAGYTGAGCAGCGATGATTTGACTCTTCAGGCGTGCCTCCCTCAGCTCCTTCTCCGTTAAACTGGCACTCCTGGTCAAACCTGAAGATACAAACAGAACGAAGGGGGATATGAAGGTTTACTGAAGAAAAATATTGGATCTTTGACTTAACACAAATGTTTGAGTAATAATAAGGAAGGCCCAATGTGACCATGCACAAAACTACTCAAAAACAACTCTCAGCTTCTTAATAAAAGGGACCAAACACCTTTTATGTGGGTAGAAAGTGCCAAGAAGAGCGTATATAATTTTAAAAACAAATCTAGATCTAAATGTTTTCTCTAAAACCCACATAACTGCTTTTAAACCACATGGTTGTGATTGCYGCTTGCCATGCTAAAAGGAAAAAGGGGTCTTTATTGACATTTGACTCAGCAGTCTGGAGTTGTGGACAGTGAGCTAATAGGCGTAGGCTGACAAACATCCTAAACATCCTTATACAAAGATACAGTTTGTTGAGTCAAGTTAAAGAAAATATGTAGGCCAGTTTCTCCTACAGATGTGGTTTGTCAAACACGAGCAAAAATTTGGGTGTTTTATTATTTTTTTAAGTTGCTCACTTATGTTTAAACTTGGGAGTTTGTTTTCTGAGCTTAAGGGCTTTCTTCCAGGCAGTGGAACTATTTCCTCTGCCATCTGCAGTCGTTCCTCCCTGAGCATTCCTCTACGGCTGAGAAAACTCCCCGCCTGCACTTCCAGCATGCCTTTGGTTTCTCTCTGTAGCTAATTTGTGCAGTACTGGAACTTCAAACCTTAATAGACCACTTTTACAACTACAGCCTCCGAAATGACTTTTTTTTTTGTGAATGCTGTCTATAAACACACTATACAATCAAGCGYGCCTATCCTAAATATAGTGACTGCATCATACTTCAAAGCTCGCGAGAGGAAAATTAAGCCTTTTTTCTCTCTTTTTTTCACAAAATATAGCTGTGAAATCAGAGACTCTTTGGCGTGTGTTGCAAAGACGACAAAGTTGTCATGGTGAAACATCTGGTAGATTATTCATCTGATTCACGATCTTCTGTTAGGTGGAAGATATTTCCAGGACTTTTCTCAGACAGCTGGCACAGACAATGAATTATGACAGCTTCATTATTCGACCTAATCGAGTGCCAATCACAATAATTACACATAAATCATCACTTGTAAAGCTGTCCTATAAGGGGATTTTGTGTGAGGTTTTCATTTTTTGGCACAAAGGAAAATGCTTACATGATGATTTCTCCCAAAACAGGAATATAATCCAGCTGCTATTGATTTTACAGACTTTACCACCCTCAGTAATTGATTTCACTCCTGTGAGTTGCCGACAATGTTTTATTCTTCACATGAAAAGCTGCTAGTTCCTGATTTTTTAAAAGTAGTCCACTATTGAAGTGGTATGAACAATTAATATGTTACCTGTTGCAGATAGGAAGCTCAATGAACAAAGCTTGAAAGAATAGAGTTTAATTCAACAAATGAACAAACGGCTAATCTGAACATAAGACTAATCTGGATTATTGCCACCTTAAAAAAGCACCAGTATCGGGCTTTTTATAGTGATTCAGAAAAAAATCTAATTAACAGACCTTTCAGTTATCATTAAATTTGAATTAATTGCCTTTTTTTACATAAAAGTCTTAGGTTATTTGCAGACCCAAGCTGCAGCAGCAACAGCTAGCTGTTGCACTTCCTGTGCCATCTGGTGCCAGATTATTTACTTATTGCTGTGCTCAGTATTCAAGCTAACTACTGTGTTAGCAATACAAATTGATTAAAAAAGGAATTATAYGTATTTTGTTAATTTAATCACTGAAGCATCATGTTCAGTGGTGGTCTGTGTGCTTACTGGAATAAAACCAAAAGAAGTGAAAACAAAATGCAACAAATTTCATCTGTGAGGCAGCCATATTGGATTTTGAGGTCAGGGACGGTTGGGAATCTCTGACTTTCTGAGTTGGAATTCTGACTGACCGTGGGGCGCGATCCAGTTGATTTTTCCAATATGGAACTCCAATTAGTTGGAAATTCCACCAAGCAGAAAATGTGCACCTTTAAACGGTTTCTCCAAAGTGAGGTCATTCAAAGAGCCAACTACGACGAACCAAATATCACTTTTTCACAGCAGCATTTCTTTTATATATAAAATAAGCTCTATAGCTAATGTGGCTAATAAATAATACAGAGTATTCACAAACACAAAAATGCACCCTGTGAGATTGCTGCTTATTTCGGCACAAAAATGTCTCCATTTTTATGAGGTTAAATCCCTCAACCTGAAAGCCAAAGTAGATGACTTAACTAAATTAGACATCTTTGGTGATACAATATGGTTACACGCTATTTTCTCAGTATACATCAGTTTCTTTTACAGTATATACTACTGCAGACAAATAAGCTATCATACCATCAAGAATGCATTGAATAATTAAAAGCTTTTATCGATTCTGTCAACATAAATAAGAACAACACCTGGTTTTATCTTTAGCTTCTGTTTACAGTGTTTTTTTTCCATGCTRGCTTGATGTGCCAAAGCTGCAAGACTTCAAATGAAATGTCCTCACTGTAAATATTGTGATGGTTATCAGATGACATGCAGGTGCAAAACTCATCAGTGACCAAAATACAAGTCAGGATGAGTGCCAACTTTCTCACTTTTTACTCAGCTTTCCTGTTCACTTTTAAAGCTGTTAAAGTTGTTGATGTTGCTCTTTGATCAAGATTTCACTCAATGAAAAAGAAATTCAAAGTAAGTAAAGTTACTGTTAAAAGGACACGTAATGTAATATAATAGTTTTAGTTCTATAAACAAAAAAAGATGTAAAGTTTACAGAGAGGTATAAAAAAACACAGAGCTGCTGAGAAGTTAACTTTTACAAAAAAAAAAAGAGACACAACTGCTTCTTTGTTGAGCTGTCTGCGAAACGTCCTCACAAGTTTTCCTCAACTTTCCTCTTAGTTCCTATTATCCCTTACCTTTTTCATGTCAGAGCTCAGACCTCCTGTGTGTTGCGGTACCTCCACAAGCATTTTCAGTTTTAACTGCGCCTGATGGCTTCACACCCCCTCTTTCATGAGTGAGACACGGGATCAGATTTCTCTTACTGCGCACAGACAGTCAGGCAGGCGGGAGGGGGTTCTGTAGCTGGAGGCTGTCTGTCACTCAGCCTTTAGATTTTTTTCTTTTTCTTTTCTGTTTTCCAGTCAGAACCACCACCTCCTCCACATGCTTTTCACTAAATATTAAATCTGAGACGCCTGTAAGGACAAGAGGCCCTGTGCTGTTTGTTGACAGAGCGTTTCAATCGGGACTGGACTTTGTTTTGACAGTTCTGGAGAAGTGTCCGGTCGATGGGGAAGTATTGAGCAGCTTATCTCTGTCACGTCCTGCGGTGGCAGGCGGAGAGTCGGACCTGCTTGTTGCAATCTTTGAAGTGCAACCCAGAGGTACTTTGGGCCTCATGTTTACATGGATTATACCAGTGAGACTSTGGAGCTCCAGCACCTGACCCCTGCTGCCCTTCAACATCAGTGGGGATATGCCATGTGTGCTCTTTCTGAGTTGCTACCCATTTGGGAGCCTTGTTTTTTCTTTTTTCTTTTCTTTTTTTTTTTGGCCTTGAGCTCCAACCTGCAGGAATTTCCTGACCTGATCTAAAGGCCTCAATCATACACCCCTCCTTTTTCTCCAACTTTCTCTATCTCATCTCTCTGCACTCTGTCCCTTCCCCTTCATCCCCTGCTTGGATGAGAGTTGACAGGAAACACACACGCACACACACAAACTTGTTTTTATATCCTTGTGGGGCCCATCCATTGACTTCCATTTATTTTTTGGTAATTTTATATCCTAACCCTGACCACCAACCCTAAAGCTAACCTCACAGGTACCTTACCTGAGCCTAAAACTAACCTAAACTCARTTCACACCTTGGTCCTAAACCCAACCCCCAACACCCAAAATCAGCCTCCGAAGTTGTGGGGCCCAAGGAGCACCTGGTCCCCACAACGCTGCATTTTCCTTAAAACTGGGCCCCACGTTGTAGGAAAAACAAGGACACACACACACACACGACAGCAGCAGAGGAGGGGGGGTTGACCCTGCAGTTGTGTATCAAAGGTCAGATTACCCTGTCGGATGTTATCTTTCTCCTGGTTGACGGCTGGGAGGAGGGGATGGGGATGACACAGCAGCAGCCCCCCCAGGGTGATGTGTGAAACGGTATGGAAGGACGGGGGATTACCAGAGGTCCTGGGATCTGCACCAGGGCGAGCGTGACCTAAACCCTCCGTTGTTGTCATTGGCTGAATGAAAAGCGCAGCAGCGCATTGGTGGAAACACRGCTCTGTTGGTTTTTATTTGAACTTTTACCATACGGTTCAGTACGACATGGAACCACCAAACATGGTGCAGGGGTGAAAAAAAAGGCAGCTTTTATCAAGGAATTTTGTGTTCTTTTTAATGATCAGAGGAAACTAATTAGTGAGTAATGATTGATAGGAAGGGAGTTGTACCACGGACATCAAGATTAGGAAGTTTTTTGATGGCCGTGAATTTTTGTATTACACAATGCCCCATTATTCACTTTGAGTGCAGAGTCGAACAGAGGAAGTTGTCTTTTTACCGCCCGCTGCCGGAAGGTGCGAGGCAGGCGATAATGTTTTTGCTCATGTCATGTGTGTGCGTTTTGTGTGTGGTAGCAAAATAACTCTTGAACCACTCGACAGTCCATTGAAATGCTCAGAAAACAATAATTGGAAGTAAATCTGCATCTAACTTTTGGAGTCATTCGGATTCAAGATGGCTGCCACGGCTAATCAAACTTAAACACAAGCTGAGCGTCATCCCCAGCCTATACTTTAAATGCTCAAGATCTCCTAATATTTCAGTGTTTTCAAGATTTGACCAAAACTTCTCTTTTGTTTATTGCTTTAAATCTATGTTTAAAGGGAATGGGGCGGTAGAAGCTGACAGCTGTGAAAACAAAGTTTCCAAGTAGCGTTTCCCACACTTTAGCTGTAATTGTCAACATCTGAAGATATTAAAACAGCCCTTTAGTAAGTTGTGGCTGATCACATCTTTGGAAAGCTTGTCCTTTTAAGGCACARAAGCAGATTTTTCATGCAGCTCTTCAATGTGTCACATCGCAGGCCTGGACTGCCCTGTTCTCTCCAGCATCTGAACGGGGTTTTACGTCCAACCCACACACTGTGACAACAAAAGCAGCACTCAGACCTCTGGACATGACACAGCTGTAGTTCTGGGTCTGAAAGTAAGATGAGTTATTTTCTCTCCACAGCCTTTGTTTTCTAGGTATTAACAGAAAGTGCAACACAAACAAACACTTACTTGTTTTCCGGCTGATGTGCTCCTCGTTGAATCCCCGCCTCTCCCATGATGTGTTTTCGTCCGACTCAGAGCCGTCTTCCCTTAACTGCAGAGGTTTTCTCAGTCCTCCTGGGCTCCAGCTCACCCCTCTCCTGAGGGACACGTGTCCCCTCTCCATCGCTACCCAGAATGCGATGCTTTAGTCTCTTTTAATCCTTAATGGTTGGCAGTGCGCTTGTTGAAAAACACACCAAAAAAAAAAAAACAGAGTTCCCGGGTTCTGTTCGCAGTCACAGCTCCTCAGTCAGCAGTGATCCTTGCCAAAGTTGTACCGCGTTTGACAAGAGGACTCCGCGTTAACATTCTTCTTCCTTAAACATTCTACGTAGTTTATCTGGACCTCCCAGGAGGGTCATCTTCAATGTCCTTTGGATTTGTTCCCATGGAAAGCAGCCACAGAAATGACTCTAGTTTGTTGCGTTCTGTTAAAAATCTGGCACAGAGTGAGGGGAAACTCTCCAGCTCTCCCTGTTTGCATCGTTTTACTGCTCTTTCGCTTTTTCCTTCCCAGATTTTGCTCGTTTGCCGATTCTATTTTTGGTCACCAGAACATGTTTTTGTTTGCTTTCTCGGCCTGTGGCATGCAGATTACTTTTCTTTCCAAGAAAGGGATCTGGTCTCTATCTTAAAGATCAAGAGTCTATACGGCGACGTGAAGGGAAGCTGTGTATATGGCAGCTTCCTCCTGTTAAGGTGCACGTAAAAGAAAACATTTCACTCTGGAAAGGTCTCTCCAGAGACCGTTTTGTATTTAGCCRTCAAAAAACTTTTAATAAAAACTGCTTCCCTCCAGTTTGTTTATTATACAGGAAAAAAAACAGTTTTTGAAAAGGGGAAAGCTCATTTCGCTCGTCTGTATTTGTTCTGATTTTTATGAAAACGTAATAGGAAAGTTTGTTTTACTTTTGATTTCAATTTTGACGAAATCTGAAACGTATCAACACAGCAAGTGATGAATTGTCYGCCTTCAGATGACTTCTGGCTCCAGGAGAAAACTTTTCAAGTGTTTGTTTTGGTTCTTTTGCTCAGGCTTTTAATAAACTGAGGGTTCACCAGAGAGTAGGTCGCTGTGCTTTATCTTATTTGTCTCCTTGTMCATTTTCTGTCCTGTAAAAGAAAAAAGAAACATCTTGGTTAAAAAGACTAAGATATTCATATTTATTAATCTCATTCAAACATGACATAAAAAGATGTTTATCCTCTGTGTGACAGCATGTTAATTTAAATTGTTTTTTAAACAGCTTTAATTCTGCTTTTGTTCCGAATATTTTTCAAAGTGGATTTGTTTTCATGCTGTTTTTAAAGCTATGGTTCTAAACTTTTGAATTGTTGTGCGGAAAAGTTCTTGTCCTGAGTTTTTGTTACCTATTTTTGTGTTTTTTGTGTTTTACGTGGTCAGTTTTATTGCTCCTTGTGTGTTCAGTTTATTTCTCTGTATCACCAGCTGCTTCTTTGTCTGGCAGTACTTTTCTATAATCAACCAGCTCTGCTCATTCACACCTGTTTCCAGTCCCAYTAGTCCCAGCTGCCACTTTCTCTGACTCTCCAGTCCAGTCAGTTTCCATTCACTCTTCAGTYCGACATTGWGTTTTATGCCATGTCTGGTTTCCCCTCGTGTCCACTTGTGTGCCTGCTCAAGAGTAAACCTGTAAGTTTTGGTTGCTTAAATTAAACCTTTAAGTTCCTGGGTCTTTATCCCTACAAACTGGGACATTCCTAACAAGTAATCTTTTAGTTGTTGTAGAAAACTTTTTGAATGAAATTGGCTTGGAGAAGATCAGTTTATTTGATCAGATTTACAAGCTAACCGCTTGTCAAAGCAGACAAATTGGAACTGTAGCTGCCTTAAAGCAAAGCTATTTGTAATCATATAATAGTGGTTTGTAGGAATGCTATGTTAGACACCTTTCCTTTCCCACTGGTTTTGGATTACATGGTTATTTTACATAGACCTCTTGGGTTAATAGCTAGTGCAAACTGCAGCAGKAACATCTAGCTGTAGCACTTTATGTACAGTCGTTTAGAATTCATAATAGTTCTGCTGGAATAACCATGTCATCTAAAACTGACAGTGATATAAAGTTTTACCAGTATAGATGGACTTATTAGATTTATTTTTTGTTTGTTTGTTTTAAGAAAGCTGCAGTCCCTCATTTTAGCTCATCTTAGCCTAGCTGTTCGCTCGTCGGTCTGGACAGAAATATGCTGCGTACCAGATGGAACTTAGATCCATGTTAGTTTTGATTCAACCATGTTTTAGCTGCTAGTCAGCAAATCAATAGGCTTTGCTAATTGTTGACCTAMTTTTAAAGAAATGTTTAAATCTATCTAAATTAAATGGTTACTCTGTTTGCCCAAGATCAAGATCTTAAAACAACTTTGATCTAAAAAATTTTTTAAACAGTTTATATAAACGTTATTGATAAACCTGTACATCAATGTCAATTTTGTGTCACACTCTAAGCTTTGCAGAAATCTAATATTCCTGCAGGAAGTGCCTCAGGCTGCATCGGCAATGCTAGCTGCCACTGTTGCTATCTTGAAGATCACCATAATTAGGTAAATAACTGCRCAAATGTAAAATAGAGTTCACTTGAACTCCTATGAATGTTTTGAAATTGAAGTTGCTTTGATAAAGCAGCAATCACTTTTGGTCTTTACCAGGACTAGCCATTAGCTTGTCAGTYCTGTCAGATCTAAACTCTATTTCTCCAAACTTTGGTCATTCAATGAGAACTTTAAAAGATCTAAATTACTACTTCAAGAAAAGTCTAAATTTTCKATCATAAATAGAAAAATAGAAAGATCAGTGTCGGCCCTTTCTACTAGTAGACCTAAAGAAAAAAAATGAAAGAAGAGAATTTCTAAAAAGTGTGAAAAAGCTCTGTGTTGACTCCTGTGGAAGGAAGGACATGAGTCACAGTGTTGGAAATCTGTATTAAATTTCCAAAAGTAGCTTCATWTCTGCCTCTGGGTTTGTGATGTGAGAAAGCCCAAAGTTTAAATTCTAGATCTTCAAGAAGAATCAACAAAAAATGAAAAGATTATTCAAGGAAGCAGCAGGATGTTCTGCTTGTAAAGGTGCTGAGAGCAACGGCAAATTTTGTAAAGATAAACCAGAGTTCACACTTCCTTTTTYCTTGATCAGACTTGTCTCTTGTTAAATCTAAAGAAAGTTTTTTTTTCTTTTTACTTTTTTTGGGGGGGAAGTGGGAGACACATAGTAAACACATTTTTTTTACCGTTTATATTTTCTTTAAGGAACCTCAACTTGTTTTGATCTCTTTTTTGTATTACATGGAAAAACATCTGAGTCAAAGCAGTTTTGGGGACGGCCGATCATTGTCTCCCTCAACACAATCGTCCCAAACAAAAGTCATCTCAAATTCCCTAATAAGGGCAACAAAAATCCTCCACAGCTTGACTCACTGGCGTGATCTGGACAACAGCGGAGATAAAGGCTTGTATTGTTCCGACGCGCTGACAAAAGCTCTTTGAAWCAACCAGATGTGCCATCCACGTTTGGAACAATCTGGATCTCAAACTCACATTGATTTCTTTAGTTTAGCAAGTCTTTCTKTACTAATTTGTAACATTTTTCTCACTAAAACATGGTCTTGGCTGTTTAATGAGAAGAGAAAAGGTGAACACGTGTTGGGTTTTTACCCTGGCAGCGTCATCACTGTCTTTGATCGATGCTCCAAATATTTATTAACTGCCAGACAAAAAACAGATGCAGGAAACTCAGAACTGACAGCAGTGGAGACACACACTTGACTCGGTTTAAGAAAACAAAACACTGACATATGGATTGTTGAAGTCAACAGACATTGGGAAATTGTCCACATTTTTTTCATTTCTAGGGGTTTACATATCTGGACATAATGCATMGATCTGGTCTTTATCAGGTCCTAAAATTGTTCAAAGTACAAAGACCCACAACAGATTTTTCCACGTAGTTATTCATTAAACAAAAATTAACCTCCTGATTCCTATGGACCAAGCTTCAGCAGTARTACATCTCTGTAGTCTTTTTCTGTTGGAGTTTATCAGCCTCTCCCATCATTGTGGAAAACATTTGACCCACTCGTCTTTACCACGTGTCAGTTCATTAATAGATATTCCTGTCTGCACAGCGTGTGCATAAGGAGGACTGGGCTGTCCTGCCTCCTGACCTAAAGGTGGATTTACGTATACTTCCATTCTCACGCCTGACTGATGCGTGATGAAAATTACGTATCTTCGGTCCGTTACCACCCATTGACACCCTGTCTTGTACATAGCCCCCAGTCAGAACTGTGTCTTGCTGACAATGTGGCACACATTGTGTGATTGGTCAGAACTTTGTGGGCATGTTTGTTTATGTGAAACATCACATGCTTCTGCATGGCAAGGCCCTGAGCTGGTTTGTTATTGTAGCAAAATGGACAGCTTCGAGGGGCAACTCGTCTGGTAACATTGATCGGGCGAACGTACGACTGACATCTACGTCTTCTTTTCGTTTTGTACTAGATTGGCCTCCTTCGACTTCTCATCCAACAACACAAGCCTCTCTTTCAAAGCCTGATAGCATCTCGGATGAGAAAAACAACCTCCATCTAACCTGCTGTTGCAGTTGTTGTTTTTATGCTTAACTGTGCATGATGTGTGTTACAGTGGGAGAGAGGAATTATGATGGTTTATCCCGAGCGTCTTCTTCTTGACTATAAAAACACTCTGAGATAAAGACATCGGAAACTTTGTAATGACAGATCTGTTGTCTCACATCTTGTTGCAGTATAAATCCACCTTAAGTCGTGCTGCTGTATTGTTTTTTCTTTTTTCTTCTTTTTTTGGAGCAAAGTCTTTCTCTGGGTAACCCTTTAAAAAAACTACTTGTTCAAACAGTTTTTTTAGCTTAGTTTCCGTTTAATAAATAATGCCATTGCATAATGTGTTGTGTATTTTTGTACACTTAAGGTTAGGGTTAAATAAATTTAAAACCTGCTACAGATCAGACCATTTTATTCATGTTTTGATGTGTTAAACCAAAGAATGGAAAACAGCAGACTTTCTTTTTCCCATGACTGTTCATTTACAACAGTTTATTTTTTTCGTCTTAGCTTGTTACTCTGCAGCCTAGAATATTATATTTCTTCCAGATTTCCTGTGATGTCTACCTTACTGTATAGCTTTCATCTCTGCTCACCGTTTCTGATAGTCGGATGTCATTTCCCTCCCATCGGCCACCCCCTGCCTCCAATTACAGGTGCCCTGAAGTTCAAAAGGTATCCGACAGTGCCCTTTTTATCCCACTTTTCTTCTTCTATTCCGACAAGTTTTTCTGCTCCGCAACCCACCACCTTCCCATGTTCACAATCAAAGATATAATTAGCAGTTTGGCCCCAAGGCGTCTTCAGTGTGTAATCACAGGCTTCCCAAGCATCATGCAAACATCGTCCGATGACAGCAGATCTATCCCACAGCTCTCCACAGCAGCRTGTCTCACATAGTGATGACATACAAAAAGAAGCTACTCTGGCAGCCGCACTCACTGTAATCATTCATTTAATTCCTGGTGGACGTCGTCTCGTACATTTATTACCGTTAAACATCAAAAGCCGACATGCAGAAAGTATGTCAGACAACCAATAACTCATCCTCCGCAAGCTTTTTTTTTTTCACCTGAGGAATCTGCTCATCATCTGTCACGTGTGCTGCCTGCATTCCTCTTACTGTAAAACTTAAAAGTCTATTAGTTTCYTATTTAACGTCTTTATGATTGAATCACTTAGGGGGAGGTCAGAGAGYGCCTGTGTTTGTTACAGCTTGCCCCGTCCGTGGATCTTTTACACCTCAGCTGCAAATGTTGAACCGTTTTAGCAAAACYCTTTGCTTCTTCTCTCTCACCACGAGACAAAGAGCCATTCAAGCCCCTCAGCGGCACGGCAAAGATGATTTTGGATGGCGCTTTTAAAGTGCCTCATAATTCCACAGTTCCAGGAGGCTGTGAGAGTGAACAGGCCTCAGCTTGTGGCGCCTGATGACTGACATAGAAAAACTCTTAATGAAACTTCGAAATGTCCGTTTTGCATTTCTCACACATTTTAAAGGCATTTCCATTAATCGAACAGTGGAGAACCTTGTAATAAAGTCTGCAGGTCAACTTGAATCTCATAAAAAATGCAGGTGGAAAAGCTCGAAAGGTAAATACTTTAATTTATGCCAGGAGGGAGGAGCTTTCTAAAACAACTCAAGTCAACTTTTGAAAACTGTTAGGACATCAAAAGGATTAAAGGTTTTTCATGGTTATTAATGCGCAAACATAGTTTTCCATGTTTCGGTGTTATAATCAGTCTTTTACCAAAATATCTCATAAACCACCAGATGAATTGTAGTGAAACTTGCTGAAAGTAGTAATTGGTTGCACATCTACAACTTAATCACTTTTTAGTCAATCTGATTTAAGATGGTTAAAAAGAGCAAAACTCAGTTGCTTTTACAGATATAGAGCTAAAACTTGGTGTGGTGAAAGTGAAGATTGATTCCCAACAGCTATACTGCGCTCCAACTGATTTCATGAGATGTTTGCTTAAAACTCATCAAAAACTGTTGAAGTCAACCCTGTTTGTTGGAAAAAAATATCTCACAAACCKCTGAATGAATTACTATAAACTCACGACATCTACAACTCATCAAATTTTGGCGTCTGCTCAAGATGGCCACCACAAATAATYGTGATTATTCAACACGAAAATAGCTCTAACTCAGTCCCTTTTACAAATATTGATCTAAAATCTGATGTGGTAGTAGCTGACAGTTTTTGTATGCAACATCTCACAATATTCCATGGGATAGCACGTATTGCTATTTTCAAGGTTTGACCAAACTGGGCTATAGCTCCATTATTTCTCAACATAAAACTCAGGCATGAAAGRCAGYGGGCAAAACGCGTTCCGTCAAGGAATGTTAGGCCTTTAATTATTACAACTTGTTCCAAATTACAAATTATTTATAGTGGTGTTCTGGCCTTTTGTTTTGACAAGATTTATGACAAGAATCTTTTCTACAAATTTAAGCAATCTTGTGTCACAGCAAAGGTCAAATAAATGTACTGTATCCTGTACATCATATGGGATCACAATTCCCCCCMCCCCCCCACTCCCCTATAAAGCAGTCAATAAACCTCCCCAGTTGTGTTAACAGGAAGTAATTACAAATAGAAGTGAGTAAATAAAGTCTCCAGCCTGGTCTTTAATTGGAAACACACAGAAA